CCGCAACGATCCTTCCCTTTCCCTCGCGTTCGATGTCTTTCACCCCGTGCGGTAAAGCCGAGATAAAATACTAATAGAGTTGCAAGTCAAAGTATCAACTGTCAAGGAGGTCATAGTTAGAGGGTGAAAAGTGTATAACGTTTCGTCGTACGATTGACCGTGAGGTGATCTCCGGCTAAAAAGCAACGACGATCTCCAAGGGAGCAGGTCGAATCATCGTCGCGACCTCTCGAGACAGAAAGAAACAAGGGAAAAGGAGAAGCAGACCGATAGAGAACCGTTGAAATAATTTCAGGACGTGATCGACGACTATAAGGAGAGGGTGAAGAGACGAGGGCCCGTCTACAAAGAGATCGATCCGGAGTGTCTGAAATGGAACCCCTTCCAGCCTCCCAAGACGCCCTCCGCCTCGAACTAAGGCTTGCAGCAGCAGCAGCAGCAGCAGCAGCAGCCGCCCGGAATGACGCCGACGCCAACGGCGGAGGTCTTCCCCTTCTCTGTCTCGTTCAGTCTCTCTGTGTGTTTCTCTCTCGTGCTCGCTCATCGGTGTCGACCAAGGGCGGTGGTCGATCTCTTCGTCTCGATCGTCTCCTTCGTTTTCTTCCCCCCTCCTCGCTGCTCGCTCGCAACCTCTGTTCTCCTTCTTCCTCCCTCCCTCCCTCCCCCCTTTATCCGCCATTCTCGTCGCCTTTCGCGAGACTCGACAAAGCCGAGTAGGCTACATCGCGCGTGGATTTCATGCTCGCGACCGTGCGGTGAAATCCGTGAAGATGTTGCGAGAGATTCATTTTCTTGGGCGCAGGCTTTCCATCGTCTCCAAGATCATCCCCGAATATCGAATCTCCCCACCTGGCTCAACTTGTATCGCCCAATCACTCACATACTTGGGTAACGATGCAATCAGAAACGATTCGACAACGAACATTCCGTGATCAGAAACGAACGTCGTTCGTAGATTTCTCACGAACAATTTATGATACTTTGCGTATCGTATCTGGATCGATCTGATCCTCGATTATCATAACGCGTAACGCAAAAAAAAAAAAAAAAAATATCATCGCGTAGCGAAACGATTTCAGCCGAGATTTGCAAAGAGCGAGAGAGACGCGATTATCGATCGTACTAGTGAACTGTGCATGGTGCAAAACGGAGAATTTTAAACGCGGCGAGCAACGAAAGAATTTCCACAATCGAGCTCGATAGTCTGCGCAGTCTACGTGAAAATAATTCGGAAACTACTATCGAGTCAAGGTTGTACTGGATTGATATAAATAAACGATGCTTTTCTCTTTCTTTTTTTTTTTTTTTTTAATTTTTTCGATTCTGCGTTACGAACGTTTATACAGATTGTTCTCGAACGATCGCGAACATGATACATCTAAGGAAATACTGCAAGATGATAGGCGTTGATTATCGAAGTGGATGAATGTTACACGTATACATACATACGATTAGTGGAATGAAATTCTTTGTTTGTAGTTTTAATTCGTTTTATTCGTTGAAAAGAGTACAAGTATTCGAGTTGAGAAACTCTGCGCGCTTATCGTGGAAGAACGTCGATGCCAGTTTTTCCGGCGGACACTGTAGAATTTGATCTGACGTTTCTCCAGCTATCGATAGTCTTCTTTGTCAACCAGAAGCCAGCTATTAGCGATCTGTAAATTAAATATGTTTCATGTATGTTTTAAGGTGTACAATACTATTTATAAAAATACAATTTTTATTAATCTAACCGAT